CACAAAGAAGACTTTGTTCTGAATTCTGAGTATCTTATCACGCTGCTCGTCGTGGTGCCAAAGTAAGGCAACAGTGTGTGCACACACCCCGTGTGGCACAGAGTGCCAGACCTAAGCTCCAGAACCAGGTGATACCAGGTCAGGTTGGGGCAGCACATGAGTGCCCTGACTGGGACATAGGTGGAGCCCTTAGCAAAGAAGAAAGATCAGTTTCTGCCAAGAGCAGTGCTAGCACAAAAGAGACAAAGATTGTGCCAAAGTTAGAGCAGAACAATTAACATGTAGGTTTTTCCATGGTTACTAGTGTGTTCTCAGTCTCCTGATAGGAATAGTATGAGCCAAAAGAAATGCTTACAGCAGCATAGCCAGTTTCTAAAAGGAATTAGACCTGTTCACCTCACAGTCTCTCTGCTGTCTGTGCCCTTCTAAGTGCCCATACATAGGATGACTGCTACCAATGGGGAAGTTACACCATGTTCTCCTCAGAGCCCTACACAAAACTTTTCCTTTCCATATAGCCCTGTCCCAACACACACATACAGCACCATCACTCTTCTGTCTCTGAAAACCAGGTTGCGAAAAGCTATCTAAGTTTGTTGACTTCATTATCTGAGTTTATTCACACTAAAAAGAGACTTCTCTCTTTGCAAACTCTTACCATCCCCCTGTTCCCTTTCTCACAGTGTTGGCATTCACCAGGAGTGCAGTCTAGCACCAGATCAGCTCTGGGATTGCACATAGCAGATGTAGCACACCTACCCATGGACCAGGGCAGCTTGTGCAGGTGTCCTGGAGCATGGAATACTGTGTGGGCAGTCTGGAAGTACGTGCCATGTTCTTCCCACCATTAGCTTACTGATGTTGACCCTTCCTCAAGCCAAGATCCTCAGTGAAGACTGAGGGTGTAGCACTGAGGAAAGCATCTTCTCAGCTGGTGAATTGGAAGAAGAAAGGATAGGAGAGGCTTAAATGTATCTTAATGACATAACCCAGCACAAAGAGCTCAACCCTTCTAACCTAAGTTATTAGCTTAATTAACGACATATATCAACATTTGCTTTCCAGTATATAGTATTTATTTACTGTGGTTTGTTTTGTATTGCTCAAAGGTCAAGCTACCTACAGTGGCAGAAGACCTATGAATCACTCTCAGATATGGTAGTACCTCGCTCCACCAAGTAAGTGAAATTCCAAGCTCTGTTCAGTGATCCCTGTCATGATTCAGCCTCTCAAATTGGTGGATCCTGGAGGAAATCACTGGTCTAATGCATAGGCTCCACATTAACATATTTGAAATTCAAATAGAATTTAGTTTGTTGAAAGAAAGTACAGATGAAAGAAAAAGTAATTGTTTTTACAATTAGCTTGTTCCCTTTTCCAGTAATCTATTTCTTTTTACTTTCAACCAGGCTGCTGCTTCTTTTTGTGTAAAACAGACAATTTATTATATTAATGGAGGTATAGTTCAGACACATGCAATCACATAGAGCTTTATGGAAAGTACTTTATAAAAAGATGAAAAACTAAATCTGCATTTTTAATTGCTTCCTGTTGTAGCATAAAATAATTCAGAATACTGTTATTTGCACTAGCAAAAGCCATATTAACTCATCTTTTCACCTCAGGTAAAAACATCTTTCACAGGACTTAAATATTCCATTGCTCAGCTCATGCAGACTATGAGATCCAGTCCAGGACACAAGAGCTGACAGTGGTGTTACCTGAAATGGAGAAGGTGGAAAGCACAGAGAAAGAAACAAGCTGTCTTGCCTACTGCCTGTCTCAAAAACACAAGTGCATGTTAAGTTGGGGGAATGATACCAGGAAACAGAAAAATCAGGCAGGCAGAATGTGTGTGTATTACAGTTGGTTCAGGAACTAAACAAATTGAGTTTTACATTGAAATAGAGTAGCCAGTGAAAGTCAAGTCATTGTTCCCTGTTTTTGTCACAGCAGCTTTCAAAAAGAAGGGCATTGTTCAGTATCATAAATGAAACTAAAAAATAATTGCAAAAGGGGCAGGTGAGGTAGGTAAAAAAGGGATGAGGGGTTTGCCATGTCAAATCACAGCAGTGGATTTCCCTCCCACAGAATGATTGCTGAGGATGCAGAGGGAGGACTCTTCACTGTGACCCTGTTTAGAAAAGTGATGGATGACTTTAAGGCTAAAGCCAGGGAGAACAGGTAAGAGGCCCTGACTGCTGGGCAGGACAAGCTAGCAAGAGATGAGGATCACGTGAGGCTTGTTGTGTGTGCAGCTTGCTGAATCCATCACTTGTTGACTGCTTGGGTTGCTCTTGGTACTAAGGCCACTGAAAGGGCAGGTTGGGAAGGAGCTGTGGTAGCAAAAGCAGTGATCCTGTTCTTGAAGCTCCAAGTTACAGATCCTGGAATTGCCCTTTTGGCTCTCATTCTGCTGACAGCAGAAAGCTGTCTTTCTAGGGGTAATTTCAACTCCCACCCCGCACATACTTAAACTTGTTAAATGGCTAGCAACTTCCCATACCTGCTTCTCCTGGCAAA